TTGAAACTAGTTTCTTAGAATGCGTATGCCATCAAAACAATATATTCACTAACAATTAAGAGTTTATTTATACTTTCGTTAAATATAACATAAGATTTTGTGGTATCCACTAGTGTAAATATTTTAAATTGAAGATCAAATTCAATCATTGTATTCATATAGGGTCAAGGAGTGTAGCGGTAAAAAATCATCAAAATCGGAGTTAAAATAACCGTTAAATCATGAGTTTTCATTTATAACCGTCGAAATTTTTTGTCCCATTACTTGATCTCTGAATGTTTATTTTTTCCGATTTTTGGTGTATATGATCTCGAAGTATAAACAAACAAGTTTGACGGTTGGATCGTTCAAACTAGTTTCTTAAAATGCCTATGCCATCAAAACAATATATTCACTAACAATTAAGAGTTTATTTATACTTTCGTTAAATGTAACATAAGATTTTATGGTATCCACTAGTGTCGTCTATTATATGTAAAGATGATGGTTTGTTTAAAAAAGGGTCGTCTATTATGAAATAAAGATGACGCTTTTTATAAAAAAACCGTCGTCTATTATGTAAAGATGACGCTTTTTATAAAAACTGTCGTCTATTATATGTAAAGATGACGCTTTTTATAAAACCATCATCTATTATATGTAAAGATGACGCTTTTTTGTAAAACAACCGTCGTCTATTATATGTAAAGATGACGCTGTTTATAAAAAACCGTCGTCTATTATATGAAAAGATGACGCTTTTTATAAAAACCGTCGTCTATTATGTGTAAAGATGAAAAAAAAAATTTAAAAAAAGCGTCGTCTTTTAAAGCGTCGACATTGCATATGCCGTCAACCAAGTCTGTCAATACATGCACAATCCCAAGACTACTCATCTACAAGCCATCAAACACATTTATCGTTACATAAAAGGGACTATTGAACATGGCCTTATTTATCGCTCTTCCCCTGATTACACATTACGCGCCTTCTCGGATGCAGATTGGGCCGGCTCTCTTGACGACCGTCGTTCAACTAGTGGGGCATGCATCTTTCTTGGTCCCAACATTCTCACCTGGACCGCCAAAAAGCAATCCACCATCTCTAGGTCCAGCTCAGAAGCCGAGTAGAGAGCCCTTGCTACAACAGTTGCTGAACTTCAGTGGTTTCGTTATCTTTTCCATGAACTTGGGGTTCCGCTTCGCACTCCACCATGCGTCTTTGTTGACAATATTTCTGCCCTTCACATGGCCGCAAATCCTGTATATTATTCAAATGGTAGGTATATTGGATGACAAATAATACCTAAATCCTAATCATAAGTACATTAAAATTTATGTAGGTATGTTGGATGTTGTATAATGTAGGTATATTGGAATAGATAATTATGTACACTTTTTATAAATTAAAAACAGGTACACTTACAACCATTTGGATACCTTTCCAAATTCAACATCTGTCATTATATACAATCCAATTAAAAACTGTTTCCATATTGATTCCTATATTAATATACAAAATACAATAATGGCTTAGGTGGGGGTATTTTTGGAATATGAAAGTACAATAAAACAGATTTTTATGCTTAATTAGGTAACTTGCTGAGTTGGATTCTAGTCATGGATTTTTACTTATACAAATTGGGTATTATTTATAGGAACAAAAAGTGAAAGGTTGTAGGTACGGCAAATTAAATTTGAATGATGTAAGCCAAATTTACTATAAAAAGTATTCAGGTTAAAGTTGGAAGACAAAGTACAACTATGAAAAAAATAAATTTTTTTTAAAAAATTTGACACGTGTTAGATTTTGAGTGGAAGAATCACTCGCTGATGTGGTGATACTGTATCACTTTATAATTTCTCTATTGAGTGGTCTGTTTGGTCCTTCTTGCTGCTTTACCTGGTTTTTGTTTTTGTTTTTTTTTTTGTTTTTTGGTTTTTGGTGGTTTAATATGGAAGAAAATCAATTTTTAATTCGGTAATTATTAATCTATTAACCTAATCATGTCGGCTGTTTGGTCCCTCTTTGTGCTTCACTTGCTTTTTTCTGTTACTTTGCGCAAAGCTAGAAAAAGGAGCATGCCTTATTTTTTTTGTTTATTAGTGGATTAATTTTTTTTTTCTCCAAACGATGAAAAGGATTTATTAAAGTTGAATAGGAATGAGTACATCAGCAGCAAGAGTGTCAAACAACCACTCAGGCCAGAGTTGATCCCATTTGAATTCCCCACCCACACGAGATACATGCGCTGCTACCAAATAAGCAGCTGCATTGCACCTACAGTTCACAAAAGTAAAAGAAATCTGACCCACCTGAGAAGCCAGTAACTTAATATTATGAATAATGCCATCAATAGCAGTATCCGTCTTCATGTTACCATGTACGGTTTCTGCCAAGTCTGGGCGCCGCTACGATCCCACTCTGGAGGTCTCGGTTGGTCATGAATAAGCGGTATGCTCACTGGACCAGCTGCCACATATTCCACTACTTGCTTTTGGCAGGTGAGAGCAACCTCTTGTGGGAGTGCATGATGCCCCTGGAAAATTGCAGCATTTCTGTTCTTCCATAGCCGCCATAGCCCAATAGCCAACCATTGCAAAATATCCTGGCGGTTATCCTTCATCTCCTATTTTTTGAGAAAGAAATGCCAGCATGAGAGA